CGGCTGGCCAACCGGGGGAAGGGAGGTCCTGGCCAGCAGCCAGCAGCCGCTAGGGACCCCACCCATGCACGAATTTCGTGCACCAGGCCTCTAGTAGTTAATAATAATGTACCAACATGGATTTATTAGTTGCAACAATTACACTGTACTAATGTAAGATAGTAACAAAAAATGGGTTTATGGAAACAATATTGCAAATTCTTGGTAAATCTAAAACTATTCTAAAAATAAAGTTTATTTTAAAAAATATATATATTTTTAAATATATTTTATTGATTTTTTTACAGAGGAAGGGAGAGGGATAGAGAGTTAGAAACATCGATGAGAGAGAAACATCGATCAGCTGCCTCCTGCACACTCCGTACTGGGGATGTGCCTGCAACCAAGGTACATGCCCTTGACCGGAATTGAACCTGGGACCCTTGAGTCTGCAGGCTGATGCTCTATCCACTGAGTCAAACTGGTTAGGGCTAAAAAAATATATTTTAATAACCCAGCTGGTGTGGCTTAGCGGTTGAGCTTTGACCTATGAACCAGGAGGTCACGGTTTGATTCCTGGTCAGGGCACATGCCTAGGTTGCTGCCTCGATCCCCAGTAGAGGGCATGCAGGAGGCAGCTGATCAATGGTTCTCTCTCATCATTGATGTTTCTATCTCTCCCTCTTTCTTCCTCTCTGAAATCAATAAAAATATATTTTAAAAAATATAGTTTAATAAAGATCCTTCAATTTTTAGGACCCACCTTTAGAACTTGTAAATAACCGCTTTGTTGTTATATTTATGGTCAGTGTGCTGGCCGGTGGGAAGATAATACTGGAATGGGAATCTTGATGTTCCGTAATGATATGTGCATAACAGATAAAAAGGAGAGTGAGGAAGACCCCACCTGCCAGAGGAAGCCCCTCCCCCCACCACACCCCCACCCAACTGCAACCCAAGTGATGCTGACCTCAACCAGATGAGGAAACACAAGGGGCCAGAATGAGGAGAGAACTGGGGTGAGCTTTCTTTGGGAAGAGCCCTGGTCTTGCTATGTGTGAGGTTTCATCTCCTGGTCCCTCCATTTCCCAGGAGAAGCCCAGAGAGCTTATGGGTATGTGTCCCTGCAGTAGGGGACCCTGTGCATGTGTGTCTGCCATCACCTAGGACATCCAGAGAAAGAAGAGGCTGGCCAACTGCTTTGGTGGCCAGAGGAGGCCCTTGAGTCAGCTGTGGGCCAGGGAGGAGGGGAGGGGAGCTGGCATTGGATCCTGGAGGATGCTGTCCCAAAGGGCTGCCTGGGACAGAGGGAGGAACGCTGGCTTTCTAGGCCTGAAGAAATTGCAACTTAATTCCCCCAATCAAGTTGCATTTGCCAGAATCAGGAGATCTGCAGACACGAAGACTTCAAGGTGGAACTCTCCAAAGAACCTCCCCACCCCCCACCCGAAACACCCATGAGAAGATAAGGACGGCAAGAGCCAGCCCTGAGAGCAGGTCAGACCCGTCCCTTCCTCCCACCCCTCCCACTCAGGGTGGAGACTGAGCCGGTGAGGCCAATGGGCAGGGCACAGGGAGGTCAGCGGGAGCAGCGACCTCCAACCCCACCCCCTTCCTGCCGGCAGCAGCAGCCACTCCTGATGAGCTGCCTTGGGAGGGAGCCTGGGGACTGATTCATAATTAGGATGGAACATGCCAGTTTCCGAACTGAGAATGACCTATGGAATGAAAAGGGCCCTAACACTGTCTCCTACCTGAAGTGAGCAGAAAAGTTTTAGGCTGGTGTTACCGGTTGAAATGCATCCCCCTCCAAAGAGATATTTTGAAATTGTTACCCTCAGTACCTTACAGTGTGAGCTTGTTTGGAAATGGGGTCATTGCAGATGTAATTAGTTCAGATGAGGTCCCCCAGGAGAAGGGTAGGCCCTGATCCATATGACTGGTGTCTTCATAAGAAGAAGGCTGTGCGGCCCAGCTGGCAGGGCTCAGTGGTTGAGCACTGACCTGTGAACCAGGAGGTCACAGTTCGATTCTGGTCAGGGCACATGCCTGGGTTGCGGGCTCGATCGCCAGTGCGGGGCGTGCAGGAGGCAGCTGATCAATGATTCTCTCTCATCATTGGTGTTTCTATCTCTCTCTCTCCGTTCCTCTCTGAAATCAATAAAAATATATTTTAAAAGAAGGAGGAGGAGGAGGAGGAGGAGAAGAAGAAGGCCATGTGAAGACAGAGACACGCAGGGAGAGCCCATGTGATGATGAAGGCAGAGCCTGGAGTGAGGTAGCAAACCACCAAAGCTGGGGAGAGGCAAGGAAGGGATCCCCAACAGGTTTGGGGGGCGGGGGGGCATGGCCCTGGCCACACCGGTTTTGCACTCCTAACCTCGGTGGAGCGGTAACAGGAAGCAGGGGCTGCCTAAACAGAAGGAGAGGAAGCAGTCTTCCCGCTGGTCTTCAGTACTGTTTATGTAAAAATATTCCACCCTCTGCGATGTTTTGACTGTTGGTATCCTCCTCCTCGGCAAGCCGGAAACCCTGGGAGTTAACATCTCCACTCTTTGTTCCTCAGCAATGACTGAAAGTCAGCATAAGAAAGAGAATTTTTAATTAAAGGAGCAGAGCAAGAAATAGAGCCTGTATTTTATCTGCTTCCCACATCGCCCGCCCCCCGGGCGGGAACACACACACTTGAAGTTACGTGGTTTCCCCAGTTTGTAAAGCACGGACCTAATTAAAAGTTCCCCAGATTTCTATCCCCTTTGCCAGCTTACTTCCTCTCATCAAAAGCTTCCTTGGGCCCCCAACAGTTTAAATTTAAAAAGTAATTACAACACAATCCCAACGATCTCAACAGTCCTAATGGCAGAAAGAACTCTGGAAACACCTACATACATATACACACAACAATACTTTTGTTCTATGTTACCGATAAGTGTTGTTTTCATTACATTCGTTTCCAACAGAAACATGCATAGCAGATGATTTTAGTGATGGCTCGAGGAGCTAGACTACACGTCCCTGTGCATAGAGCAGCGACATAAATGATGTGGAACTCTTCTGTGAGGAGCCTCGCCTCACCCCCCGCCCCCCTTTATTCACTTCTTCCATATGTATTGATATCCGTGTGAGCTCGCTGATATTTATACTCTGGGTTATAACCCCACGCTGCTTTATTCATTTATTTTTCATTGTTTTATTGCTTAAAGTATTACAAAGAGTATTACATATGTCTCCTTTTTTTCCCCGCCCTTGACAATCAAAGCCCACGCTGCTTTATTTTGTCCCTCAAATGACCCCAGTTTGCGCCAGTGTGGCCTTCCATGTATAAAAACACAAAACTGAGAGGCAGGTGCTGTGTTGGGCTCTCTCCCCCTTTACATTTATTTTGAGGGGCGTCCAGTTTCCAAAACCCCCAGGGATATCAGTGCTGGCTGTCTAACCAGGTGCCTTTTCCGGACCCGTTTCTTCATCTGTAAAATGGAGATCATGCCTGCTACAGGGCTGTCCCAAATAAGCTTCTATTTTTATGTATTTAAGGCCCGTCACCTATGTCGAGGTGCGGGGGGGTTCCCATATAGGTGCTGATCCTAAGTGGGACATGCACAGGTGGTCTGGACCATCCGCTGGAGGCTTGCACCAATACCTTCTGGTCAGACACTTTCACAGAGACAGCACCTGCCTGGGCAGAAGGAAGGGGGATGGGGAGTTAGTGCTTAATGGGTGTGGACTTGCAAAAGTTCTGGAAATGGATGGTGGCAATGCAGGTATACTTAATGCCACTGGGTTGTATTTGAAAATGGTCACTTTTATGTTATGTATAGCTTACCACAATAAAAGTAAATATATTCTTATTGTTGAACATTTAGGAAACTTTTGTCTTTAAATCCTCCGTAATCCCAGCACTAGGCGGCCATTCGTTTTGACCTGTGTACACTCTGTATACATTTTGGATCCTACTCATACAATTTTGTCCTTTTAACGTTACATCGTGTATATTTCCCCGTGCTATTCAAAACCTAGTAAAGGTTTTTATTATCTGCATGGCATTCCATCACTATTCACTTAATCATTGCCATATCTTTAGATGAATTTTTCCGCATTATAGATAACACCACAGTGACACCTCTCTGTGATTAAACACACCTTGTTCCCATTTCAAAAGACACCTTTCGGGTTACAATCTTTCGAGTAGATAGTCAGGGAAGTAGAGTTACTGGGTCAAGAAGTGGCCGCTTTGGCCCTGGCTGGTTTGGCTCAGTGGAAAGAGTGTCCTCCTGCGGACTGAAGGGTCCCGGGTTCGATTCCCGCCAAGGGCACATGCCGGGTTACAGGTTCTGATGTTTCTACTCCCTCTCCCTTCCTCTCTGAAATCAATAAAAACAAAAGAAGTGACCCTTTTTAAGGCACATGATAAAACCCCGAGGCCACTTTAAAGTGTTGGACGTGAGGTTCCCTAACCCTGGGGACCAAGATGCTCGCGCAGGAATCAGAACCCCGAGGACCGCGGAGAGAGAACCCCAAAGGGGCGGGAAGAGGCGAGGGACCCTCCCCTCCCACACCTGGCGGGGGAGGACCCTAGGGGCGCACCCGCCGTCCCCAATCCCCGGGAGGCGGGAGGGTCCCGACGGAGACGCCCCCGGCCTCGCCCCCACGCGTCCTCCCGGGCTGCCCGGTCACTTCCCGCGGCCCCTCCCTCAGCTTCCTCGTCCCCGCCTGGCGACCTCCCGGGGTTTCCTCTGTCCCCTCCCCACCCTCACCCCGCTTCCCGAGCCCCCTCCCTGCACCCCCACCCCCACCCCCACCCCATCTCGCCGCGCGCTCCCCCCGGCGCCCTTCGGGTCCCCTCCCCCCTCCGGTGTCCCCTGCGCCCCCCCGCCCCCCAGCATCTCCCGCGCCCTCCCGCCCCTCCGGGTTCCCGTGTCCGTCCCCTCCCCGCCCCCGGTTTAAACCTGGCGCCTCGCTGGAGCGGGGCAGGCGCGGCCGGGTCGCTGGCGCCACTGGAGGGCGCGGGCTCCGCGGGCACCATGAGACCCGAGGCGGCGGCGGGAGCCCGGGAGGCGCGGGGTCGCGCCTGTCCCTGCCCGGCGGACGGCCCCCGGAGGCCCCCTTCGCCACGCGGGCCCGAGAGGTGAGGGCGGCGCGCGGTGCTGGGAGCGGGGTGCCCGGGCGCCGGGTCCCCGAGTTCCACCGCGACGCCCGGCGAGCCCGGTGGCCGGAGGCCGGGGCGCAGAGCGCGGGGTCCAGGAGGTCCCGCCAGGGGAGAGCCCGCACTCCCGCTCCCAGGTCTGAGATGCGCGCCGCTGGGAACGCTGATGTGTCCGGGCCCCTCGACGAGCCTTGCAGGGGGGTCCCCGCACATCGACTGTCATAATCTCGGTGACGGTCTCTGCGCTGTATTCGGGGCCCCGTGCCTCAGCCCTTTTCAAGGGAGTGAAGCCGAAGGAAATCAACTTAGCGGGAAGGCGTGGCGGGGCTGGGTGCCCAGGCAGCCGGAGAGGAGAAGCCCCTGGACCCCTTGTGCACCCCCATGGCGCCTTTGTGCACCCCCATGGCCCCTTTGTGCACCCCCATGGCCCCTTTGTGCACCCCCATAGTCCCTTTGCGTTCCGTAGAACTAACTCTGCAGAATCATCTCTGAGCATCGAGACCCTTCAGTGATGGAGGCGGTGCGGCTGGAAGGAAGAGCCACCAAGTCACCAGCTGTGGGCGGGAGTCTGAATGGAAGAGTCGAGCCAGGCCTGGGGAGAAAATCTTCCACTGCTGTGTCCCCTGATCATTGTATCAGATTTGGGACTTCTCAGAGCCCAGTGATGGCAGGAACTGGGAACTGCAGGAGGAAACACACACACACACACACACACACACACACACACGGCACTGGGTATCCACAAGGAACTCGGGGGGACGTTCCGGGGTGTCCAGGGACTCCTTTTCCAGGCACACAGCAGAAATGATGACTCCTAGGACATGCCTTTAAAAGACAGCAGAGGATGCTGGGGTTCACCCTGGTCCCTTCCGTTCCAGCCCCACACCATGGCGACCCTGGACCCTGACCCCCCGGGATGCTGAGTGGACCGGAGCTGGCAGCCAGGTGAGGTGAACTGGGGTGTTGTGGGCATCCACCAGTTCAGCCAGGAATGGCACCATCGGCAGGAATGACAGGCCCCTCCACCTGTTCCTCCCTCGGCGTCTCACGCAGAGTGGTCTGGGGCAGGGCCCGGTGAGCGGTGCTGATAAAACCTGGGTCACAGGAGGCTGGCTCCTGCCTGCTTCTCCTTTCTTGAAAAGCAAAGCCGCTCCCGCCTAGCTACTTCATGGGCATTCCACGGTGCTTCTTTCATGTTGGTTTGCTTTTCCTCCTGCAAATGAATCATAGGTAGAGAGAGGGAGGAAAAGGCTGCCTTAGAGGAAAGCCGAGGGTGCCATTAGCGCTGGGCGGGTGCCACAGTGCAAACAAGGGTAGGGATCCGTCTGGGGTGCTCAGAAGGTGTGGTTAAAAGCCGGGCCCTTTCTGAAGCACTTTCCACCCTGTCTGGGAGCGCTGCTGCGGGAACTCAGGTTGTCTGAGCAAATACTCTCCCGATGAATGGCCACCCCTCTCCTTTTGTTTCCTGCAGTGGGAGCTAAATCGCTCTATGCTTATTGAAGTAATGGCTTGCTTTCATGGAATTTAGCTTTCCTTGTTATAGTTTAAAATAGAAATGGATGACTTTTTTTAAAAAAAATGCTGAAGTTAATTAGGCTAGGAAAGACCTAACACATGTGGCCTATGGCTTAGTGTGCAGTTATTGGTGATATGATAAGAAACTCGGTGTGGGAAAGCAGGCTTGGACTATTTAATTAAATTAGTGTGAATAACGGGATTTTAACTCAGTTACTATTATTTAAAGAATGAAGCAAGTAAAAACCAAATTAACAGGAGATATGATTTCGTTGCCCAAATTATTATTAAATACATGCAATGTCTAAATAATGAAAACTAATTCCTTCTTTTGCATTCAAACTTGATATAAGACTTCAAGTGCTTGAGAGAGAGATAATGTAGAAGTTTACAATGATGCAGTTTTCTTTAAAGTGAAATGTATATGGAGCCTATCCGTTGCAAGAATAAAAATACTACAGCAAACTTCCTAACGTAAGGCAGGCAGGTGGATTTTTATCCCTATGTGATGAGAAGGCCATTGGTGAGAAAAATGAAGATTGCAGAAAAAATGTTAAGCTGTAGCAACTCTCTGGCTGGGCGTCAGCATGGCACACTGGATTAAGCAGGTGTGCCCATGGATTTTGGGGGGGAGTGGAGGGTGGCTGTTCCGTGGGCTGTACCGCTCGCCGCCCCGCTCTCCTGGGGCCAGCTCTTTGCAGAGCTAAGTTGTCAGGGCGGAGCGGCAGGTGTAGGGCACCGGGCTCCCGGGAGCCCCAGCCTGGTGAGCGCAGCGAGTGCGGAACGGGAGCGCTTATTACTCAGCAGCGCCCTCTCCCGACAAACGGGAGAATTCCTCGGCTCCAGAGCCCTGCTTGCAGTGCTGTAGAACAGCGGTTCTCAACCTGTGGGTCGCGACCCCTTTAGGGGTCGAACGATCCTTTCACGGGTCACCTAAGACCATCGGAAAACACACATATAATTGCATATCGTTTTTGTGATTAATCACTATGCTTTCATTATGTTCAGTTTGTCACAATGAAAATACATCCCGCATATCAGATATTTACATGACGATTCATAACAGTAGCAAAATTACAGTTATGAAGTAGCAACGAAAATAATGTTATGGTTGGGGGTCACCACAACATGAGGAGCTGTATGAAAGGGCCGCGGCATCAGGAAGGTTGAGAATCACTGCCTAGAAATTGGAGGCAAGGCTTCAAGCGGGCCCTGCCCTGAGTGGAGTCACCCTCACCCGTTTCAGGGAAGATAAAAGGCAGACCAAACTGTTGTTGACCTCTGTTCCATCTCCCTCCTGGCAACTTGCCGGCCCTGCAAAGGAGGGGATGTCCGGGAAGGAGGTGCCAGGCCTGTGCTGTCCTGGTCCCATCCTCCCGTCTCCCAGGCCGCCCTCCCCGCGGTGTTAGTGGAGCGGGAGGCATGTGTGTCTCTCCCCAGCAGGTTTAAAACGCCTGCACAGGGGGCCTGTGTGGGACGCACCTGTCCATCTCTGGATCCCTCCCAGTGCCCTGGGCATCACCGGCGACAGCAAGAGGAAGACGGGCTTAGCAAGTACGGCGTCCGTGTTTAAACGGTCTCCAAAATCACTACTGTTGCTAGCAAGTGCAGGCCGCTTAGATTTCGTTCTGTGTTTTGTTTTGTTTTTGTAATTTCTGGATGCAACTTCAGAGGCTTCTTGACTGTGTGTGTTTGTGTGTGTCTGTCTTTGCAGCTTGAGCCAGGGGGTGGCCAGCAAACTCCCGGATCAAAGGGGGCCTTTGGGTTTCAGCATCCTGTAAGGTAACCACCTTCACAGTAAGAAATGCATGATTTCCTTGTCATGTCAGCATGGACACACGGTAGTGCCTCCTACTGTATGCGTTTTCCACCAAGTGGCCAATAGTTCTGTGCTCGCCAATGTTATTGAGTTACTGTCATCCCAGGGAACTTCAAGGGTATATTGTGGGATTTCGGGAGTCCATGCATTTCTTCATTCCGTCAGTGTTTCCGCTGCAAGTTGGACTAGCCTGTCTTTCCTTCATACCTTTCGTTTAGTACCTCTTATGACATATTAAGTCTTGTGTTAAATTTAATTTAATATGAATGATATAAGCATATCTGTTTATTTACCTAGCTCTTTGGGTACATTTCCATTTCGCCCCCAGGATATGTTAGTGTATTGTCTAGAACAGCGGTTCTCAACCTGTGGGTCTCCACCCGTTTGGGGGTCGAGCGACCCTGTCACAGCGGTCACCTAAGACCATCGGAAAACACATATATAATTACGTATTGTTTTTGTGATTAATCACTATGCTTTAATTATGTTCAGTTTGTAACAATGAAATTGGGGTCACCGCAACATGAGGAACTGTATTAAAGGGTCGCGGCGTTAGGAAGGTTGAGAACCACTGGTCTAGAGCAAAGTAGACCTGGAAAGTGTTCGTGGAGACTGAATGAGGGATGGGCGGATGCGCCCGCAGCGGAACCTCTGCTTTCGAGGTCCCGGCGGGATCAAGACCCTCACTGTGTGTCCGTCTTACTTCCAGCCTGAAGCAGGTGGCTCACGCTCAGGGTTTTAGCAGTTGCTCTGTCTCCATCTCTCTCTGCCTCCCATTTCCTTCACCGGAATAAGCCTAGTCCGACCTCTCATTGGAGTATTTTTACCTGCTGAGCCCGGGAGACGGGAGGCTTGGGTCGCACCCCCGGATACTAATTGCTAGAGGCGGCCTTAGGGCCCCTCAGGCGGCCAGGGAGTGGCCGCTGGACAAGGGAAGCTTTCCCAGGCCCTTCTGTCAGTGACCTTTCATCCTCGTGGGATCGCAGACGCTGGGTGGCTCCCCGGGGTCTGACACGCCTGTTCTGGGGGCAGGCCTGGGTGTATCTTATAGGCTCTGCTGGCGATCCCGACGTGCTCTGGGGCGAGACCACCACCCTCTCATGCCCTGTGTGCATTCCCCGGCCCCACCTGCCCGGGCCTGCCCCCCGCAGACGCTCTGCTACTGCGCCCCAGTTTTAGACTCGGTGAAAGCGCGGTGACTGGGGCGGCCTGCATCGCAAACTGGATAGACGTTTATTACAGAAAATGTCAGGCAGGCAGGAAAGTGGAGAGGACAGTGCAGCGCATGCCCGGTGCCCGCACCGGCCTCAATCATCGCTAACATGCTTCGCATCTGGTCAGGTTTGTCACTGGCTCTTTTTTTTTTTTTTTTTAATATATTTTATTGTTTCTATACAGAGAGGAAGGGAGAGGGATAGAGAGTAAGAAACATGGATCAGCTGCCTCCTGCACACCCCCCACTGGGGATGTGCCCGCAACCAAGGTACAGGCCCGTGACCAAAATCGAACCTGGGACCTTTCAGTCCGCAGGCTGACGCTCTATCCACTGAGCCAAACCGGTTAAGGCTCTTTTTTTTTAAAATTGTAATGTTAGAATAATAAAGCAAATCCCAGACATCCCACAAAATCAAGTTCCCTGTGAATACAGTAGCCTCCCCTTATCTGCAACTTACATGTTGCAAATTGCACGTCCTTCTGAGTGTCGCGAGTCCGAGCCTTCCCACGGCCCCGCCCAGACGTGAAGCGTCCCTTTGTCCAGCGGCTCCACACTGTACACACTTACGTCCCGCTGGTCACTTCGTAGCCCCTCGGTTATCCCACCGACTGTCGGGGTGTCCCAGTGCTTGGGTTCAAGCACCCCTTATTTTACTTAATAGTGGCCTAAAGCCAGTCACATAATTTGGCTTACTTTTATTACAGTATATTGGTATAATTATTCTATTTTATTATTAGTGATTGTTAATCTCTTACTGGGCCTAATTTTTTAAAATATATTTTTATTGATTTTAGAGAGGAAGGGAGAGGGAAAGAGATAGAAACATCAATGATGAGAGAGAATCATTGATCGGCTGCCTCTTGCACGCCCCCCACTGGGGACCGAGCCTGCAATCCGGGCCTACACCCTTGACCGAAATTGAACCCGTGACCCTTCAGTCCTCAGGCCAATGCTTTATCCACTGAACCAAACCAGTTAGGGCTTACTGTGCCTGATTTACAAGTTAAACTTTATCATATGTTTGTATGTATGTACATAAAGGAAAAAGCCTAGTATGTACGGGGTTTAGTACTATCCATGGCTTCAGGCATCCACTGGGGGTCTTGGAAGGTGTCCATCAAGATAAAGGTAGGCTAGTGGACGCCAGCATAACACCTAAGTTTTAATGTGGCCAAACACTATACTATGCTTATATCACTGTCATAGGTATGTATTCTGTTTTCTGTTGCAGAGTTTCTCAACTGTTGACACCTTGTGTAGACTGGATTGTTTGTTGTTGGAGGTTAGGGGCTGTCCTGGGCACTGGGGGTGGGGGGGTGGGGCAGCAACTTGAAAGACTTGAAATCATCTTTGCAAATAAGCAGTGACCAATGGATAATCCTCTCAGCTCCTCAGCCACAGGGGGGAATGCAAACAGATTCATGAAAGGTTTGAGGATAGAGATTATGGAGCAAGTAGGAGGTATTTTATTTTATTATTTTTTTATTGATTTTAGAGAGAGAGGAAGGGGGGAGAGAGAGACGTTGAATTGTTGCTCCACTTATGTATGCATTACTTGGTTATTTATTGTATGTGCCCTGATTGGGGATCAAACCTGAAACCTTGGTGTATAGGGATGACACTCTAACGCAGTGGTCAGCAAACCGTGGCTCGCGAGCCACATGCGGCTCTTTGGCCCCTTGAGTGTGGCTCTTCCACAAAACACCACATGCGGGCCCGCACATACAGTGGGATTGAAACTTCGAGGCCCATGCACAGAAGTCGGTATTTTGTGGAAGAGCCGCACTCAAGGGGCCAAAGAGCCGCATGTGACTCATGAGCCGCAGTTTGCCGACCACTGCTCTAACCAACTGAGCTACCCGGCCAGGGCAAGAGTAGAAGGTTTTGGGGTTTTTGTGTGTGTGTGTGTGTGTGTGTGTGTGTGTGTTTTCAGCGAGGAAGGGAGAGGGAGAGAAAGATAAACACATCAATAAAGAGCGAGAATCATGCCAAACCGGTTTGGCTCAGTGGATAGAGCGTTGGCCTGCGGACTGAAAGGTCCCAGGTTCGATTCCGGTCAAGGGCATGTACCTTGGTTGCGGCCACATCCCCAGTAGGAGGTGTGCAGGAGGCAGCTGGTCGATGTTTCTCTCTCATCGATGTTTCTAACTCTCTATCCCTCTCCCTTCCTCTCTGTAAAAAATCAATAAAATATATTAAAAAAAAAAAAAGAGCGAGAATCATAGATCAGCTGCCTCCTGCACACCCCACACTGGGGATCGACCCCGAAACCCGGGCATATGCCCTTACCAGGAATCGAACCGTGATCTCCTGGTTCATAGGTCAACCACTGAGCACGCTGGCCAGGCCAGAGTAGGGGGTGTTTCAAATACTTTCTATGTATAATTGGAATCCTACATTTACAAAACCTGGGTTGGTTTAGAGATTCCAATTATATATATATAAGCTATTTTCTCTCCTTTCCTTTTTTAAAAAAATATTTTTTTTATTGATTTCAGAGAGGAAAGGAGAGGGAGATAGATACATCAATGATGAAAGAGAATCATTGATTGGCTGCCTCCTGCATGTCCCCTACTGGGGATCAAGCCTGCAACCTGGGCATGTGCCCTTGACGAGAATCGAACCAGGGACCCTTCAGTCCCTGGAGGCCGAAGCTCTACCCACTGAGCCAGACCCGTTAGGGCATCTCCTTTCCTTTTTAAATACACCGATAAATTTATACCAAAAGGTCCCCCAAATGGGATCTTGCTTGCTTGCTTTCTCCTTTTCCCTTCCGGTCCCCTTTCCCTTTCCCTTTCCCTTTCTCCCTCTCTCTTCCTACTGGGCAACTAGCCAGGCTGCCATTGTCTATTCTGGAAAAGTAAGGGACCCGCCCCTATAGCTTCTCTATGGAAACATCCAGAAGCTTAGCTGCTTCTCCTCTAGGCCAGGGTTTCAGAGTCAAGCTTCCTCCAGAGCCCCACCGGCCACAACACTCCCCACGGGAGGGCCTCCCGGAGCAGGACCAGGAGGGCTGCCTCACGCGGTCACAGGGAGCCTCTTAGTCCTGAACAAAAACAGTGTTTTCCTTTTCTTTTCCCTCTGCAGAAGCCACCCTTTTCCTAGTGGATTTGCTCACTCAGCTGCCAGCTCGTTTATGCACTAGTGTGTGTATGTGTGTGTATAGGGGAGAGGGGGTGCTAGCTCCTTCTAGGGACAGAGGTCCTCTAGGCGGGGTGCAGACGGGCTCAGGTTGACTAACGCTGTGTTTGTTTCTGAAACATTAGACTTTATTTGCCCATTTCAAAGCGCCGAGAGTATCTGCAGAGTTCCGGGGAGAAAGTGCTGGCCAGTTTCCCGGTGCAAGCCACCATCCACTTCTACAACGACGACTCCGACTCCGACTCCGACTCCGAGGACGGGGAGCAGGAGGAGGCCCAGGGGCCGGGGGCAGAGAGCCCGGGAGACACGGAGCGTGGCCCAGGAGGAAGGGGCAGAGACCGGCCGGCACACCCCGCACCGCGATCCGCAGGGCACGGGGGGCTCGGCGGGAAGGGTGGGCTCCCCCACGATGACGCTCCCGGGGGTGCCGAGTGCTCCTCGTCCAAATAACGGGGGTCTCCCTCCCCCCACACCTGCCTCGTGTGCCTCTTGGGGACAGCTGTGCCTGCACGCTGCAGGGCCCGGGGGCCAGCTGTCCACCATGGCCGGAGCACAGCTTCCCCTTCTCCTGAGGCGCTCTTCTTCAGGACACTCACCGAGAACGGCCTCTGGGACCGAGGGAAGGTTTGTGCGCACAGGGCTCTCGGCAGGTAGGGCCGACTTCCAGACCGCATCCAGCGGCCACTGCTGGTCCAAGGAGGCCCTCCCATGCAGGCCAGGAGCCCATCCCTGCCTCTCACTTCACCGGAGACGCATCGTGCAGTGTTTGTGCTTTTGTACAAAAGATACTGTCCACAGGTTCATGTGGTCGCTTCGTGGCATTCTCAAAAAATTATTTATGGAGAACAAGTAAAACAATCATTCCTGTCAGAATAACAGAAATAAAAAGATGGCTTTTTAGGAGACAGTTGTGGATAAACGTTTTCATGGTTGTTCTTTAAGGGCTATGGGTCTGACTAGAGATAGAGAAGAGCGTTAGCCCTGAGTTGGGGGCTGCTTTGGGCTTGTTACTTGAATAGAATGACATAGCTATCAATCAAAGTATTGAATGTAAAATTATTTTCATTTTTTTATAGTTGAATGACCAAATGAATACGTTCCTCAAGGTATTTTACTGAACTATGTTACATGTGGTTGTCTTCCTCTATACCAGCGGTTCTCAACCTGTGGGTCGCGACCCCTTTGGCGAAAATAATTTTATGGTTGGGTCACAACATGAAGAACTGTTTAAAGGGCCAGAAGGTTGAGAACCACTGGGTTAGGGCAACACGGAGCTTCTTGTGTCCAAATTCTTTCACGTGGTGTAATGTCTCCAAGGCTCATCCATGTTGTATCATGTAACCCTCACTACTTCGTTCCTTTCTGTGGCTGAATCATATCCCACTGTACGGGGAGACCACATGTTATGAAAACAGCACACAGCTCAAAACCAACATGCCAGTCCCCCTAGGATATCCTCTCCGGCTCCCTCCCTGTCACCTCCCGGCGCTGTGGGTCCCATTTGTCTGGTTTTGAACTTGACACCAATGGGATCCCAGGGCACGTGCTCTTTTGTGTCTGGTTTCTCTCAACGTTAGTTTGTGAGACTCAGTCACAGTGTGTGCAGGTGCAGATGGCCACTCTCATTGCTGAATGGAACCCTAGGGTGTGGATGCAGCACTGTCCCCCATCCCTTCTAAGGATGAATGTTGGGTTCGTTTCCCGTTTGAGGCAACTGGAATAACACCTTTGTGCATATGGCGATTGGTGGACAGATGGACCCATTCCCATTGTACGTGTGTCTAGGAATGAAGCAAAATCACAACTTTTATGAGTCTGGTCTCCTCCAGCCAGAACATGATTTCAGAACTGGAGAGAGGGGGGCCATAGACCAAGACACAGAGGAGAAGAATGAGGTTGCCAACATGGCCATTGTTTTCTCAGAAGTCTGGAGCTCAGAGGCGCTGTGAATGGCCACAGCCAGTGGACTCTTCGTTCTTCCTGAATTGGGGTTTTGTAACGGGACCTAGGAGCTTACTTCATTAGGGAACGGGATGAGGAATGAGACCTGGATAGTCAGTCCCCTAAGATGCTGGAGAAGAAGGTCTAACAACTCTTCTGCAGGTCCTAAGAAGTTTCCAGAAACGTAAGAAGGTTTCAACCAAGCTCTTGAACTCATCTCATCCCTTTACATGAGGAGAAAATCTCACCGCAGAAACAGTCAAGTCTGAGAAGGGGACCCAAGTCCCACAAATGCCCCCTTTCCAGCAATGAGCCCAGGCCCCTCCCCATCTGCCTCCCTGCCTCTGCCCTGGGGCAGATCAGCTCCCTGGGAATGACACCACGGCCGCATGTCACTCCTCTGCGCTGTTTCTCGTGCACACCCCTGTCGTGCTCATTCTATAGGCTCTACTCGAGTTTCCCCCTTTCTTTATTTAGGACCTCGAACAGTCAATTGAACTCACCAAGGTTTCTTTGAGCATTTTTTTTTTTAATTAAAAACTTTTAAAGTAAAAACTTTTTTAACATTAAATTTATTGGGGTGACATTGGTCAATATGGTCATATAGGTCTCAGGTGTGGGTTTCTATATTGTACCATGTGGAGCAATTTGTTGGTATCACCTTTTTTTTTTCTTTTTTTTTTTTTTTTCTGTGCTGGGAAGATATTTCTAAGCTGGAGAAAAACTGCCCTTACCTAACACCAGAAGGAGAATGTAACCCTCCCCGCAGGGCGTGAGTCACGCCTGCATGACTCATTTGTGTAGAATTGCTGGTGAAAGACAAGGCAGAAACAGGTACTCTTTTACGACAATCATGAAAACGGTGGATGCTTCTAAAGATAACTTGACTGCCGTAGAAGTTGCTGGGCAAATCTAAAACACAGTATTAATAGTCCATTATGTCATTACATAGTCATCCTTACAAGCAGATTTCACTTTATGGTTTCAGATATTTCACAAAGTTGCTCAACATCATTATTCCTTATGGAAATGCAAATTAAAACCACAGTGAGATACCTCCGTGCACCTACCGGAATGGTCACAGTTTTAAAAGACATGTAATAACAAGGATGGACAGGGTTGTGGAGAAGGTGGAACATCACTGGTGTGAATAAAAAATGCTAAATATAGGGTGTCCCCCAAAATGCATACACACACTTTGAATTATAAAGGTGGTGTGTATTAAAATACATTTCATTTTCAAGATTGAGCTCTTGGCTGTTAAAGTGTGTATACATTTTGGGGGGACAGCCTGTCGTTTGGAAAAGAGCCTGGCAGTTTCATAAACAATTTAAACATAGCTCTAGCCGGGTTTTCTCCGTGGTTAGAGCATAGGCCCAAGGACTGAAAGGTCGCGGGCTCAATTACAGTCAAGGGCATGTGCCTGGGTTGCAGGGTCGATCCCAGGCCTCAGTTGGGGCGTGGGCGGGAGGCAACCAATCAATGTATCTCTCTCACACTGATGTTTCTCTGTCTCTCCCCCTCACTTCCACTGTCTCTAAAAATCAATGGGAAAAATATCGGATGAGGATTAACAACAACAAAAAATTAAACATAAATTTACCATACAACCTAGCAATTCCACTCCTAGGAATCTACCCAGGAGAAATGAAAACATATATTCACAAAAAGATATATATACAAATGTTCATAGCAGCTTGATTCATAATTACCCCACCCCGTAAACAATCCACATGGACCTCAATTGGAGAATGGGTAAATCAAAGGTGCTCTGCCCATGCAATGGGGTATGATTCAGCAATAACATGGGATCTGATGAAGTCTTGTTACATGCTAAAGCATGAATGGGCCCCAGGTTCGATCCCAGTCAAGGGCATGTACCTTGGTTGCTGGCGCATCCCCAGTGGGGGGTGTGCAGGAGGAAGCTGATCTATGTTTCTAATTCTCCCTCTCCCTTCCTCTGTAAAAAATCAATAAGATATATTTTAAATAAAAGAGAGAGAGAGAGAAGAACTGTCAAGAAAAGGCAAATTGATAGCCGTGGAGAGCAGAACAGAGGCTGCTTTGTGCTGGGAGTGGGGGTGGGAAATAACTGTAAATGGGCACAAGGAAACTTTTAGGGGTGATGGACATGTTCTAAAACTGGATGATGGTGAGTGTCTACATCAAGTCTATAAATTTGCAAAATCATTGAATCAGATAGTGCCAATGGGTGAATATATATAGTATACAAATTACAAGACAATACAAGCTGTTTTAAAAGCTTAAAGTCTTCCGTTAAAAGAATATTTGTGGTCCTGGCCAGGTAGCTCAGTTTGTTAGAGTGCCGTTCCAATATGCCAAGGTTGCAGATTCGATCTCCGGTCAGGGCACATCCACTGAATGCATAAATAAATGGAACAACAAATCCACGTTTCTCTGTCTTTCTGACTCCTTCCCTTCTTCCCTCCTTCCCTTCCATTTTGTCTTTCTAAAATATGGCAAAACAAACAAACAAAAACAAAACACAAAACCAAAAAAACAACCCACACAATATATGTATCGTTTTCTTTAGCCACTGAGTCACTACAGGCGTAATGCAATCCTTTTGTGGCGTAACAACAACTTTAACTTACAAAGTAACCCATAGGAAAAAGTTCCAAAGAAATCCTTTGGTTTCTCCCCCGACTCTTAGTTTTTCCTTTCCTGGGTCTATGGAGGTTCCGTCTTCGGTGCACTCGCAGTGACCTCTGAGCCATCCATCACATGAAGAGGTCCAGGTGCACTCTTAGGATGGCGACTTCAGTTCCACAGCAAGACGCGCAGGGAAGATCAGTTGTGTGATCCAGGTCATCATCAGGCTTGACATTTTTGTGAGCATCTTAAATTACTCTACACCCCAGGATTATGTTGCTAAACAATGCAGTCGGGCCAATACCCAGGCTGCTTAGGTATAAAGTTCGGGGCTTCAGTTATCCACAAGATCAAAAAACAATGGTCACCGACCGTCATAATTGGAGATCTCTCCAGATACATCAGATACTAACATGCAAATGTGGAAGTTTTACATAGCTTTCCACAATACATTGCCCTAACAATAGTTATAGCTACCATAGAGGTCATTAAAAGACATTTCAACAAAATTGATTTACATACATTTCTTATCGACAGACAGCAGATACAGAAGAGGGAGCAAATTGTAAGTGCTTGATGAATTTTAAAAGATAACATACCTGAGCCTGTGGCGGACCTTAAGGTCCCGGGTTCGATTCGGGGCCAGGGAGCATGCCCGCCCTGGTCAGGGGCTCGAGCCCCACTATGGGGCGTGCAGGAGGCCGCCGATCCACGATTCTCCCTCATCAATGATGTTTCTCTCTCGCTCCCTCTCTGCAATCACTAAAAATGTATTTAAAAAAAAAAATAAAAGATAACATACCTGCCCTGGCTGGTGTGACTCAGTGGGTAGAGTGTCGGCCTGGGCAACAAAAGGTCACGGGTTCACTGTGGTCAAGGGCCCATACCTGGGTTTC